GAGGCCGTGCCAGTGCCAGGCTGCCAGTGCTGCCGGCGGGGATGAGGTGCCCCTCGTCCCCAGAGCAGAGCTGGAGATGGAATCAGGGACATTTCCCCCTCCTTTGTGCACCCACTTGCTGTCAAAAGGGCAGGAAAATCCAACAGGTCCACCTGGATCAGGGTTTGGGGCTTTTTATCCTCTCAATGCTCCCTGTTTTGGGGACATTTTGGCATTTTGTGACCAGTTTGACCCAGGGGCACTGCAGGTTCCAGTCCTCCCAGCGCAGCACCTGCCCTGGCCGGCACTGCTGGGCACACCGATACTGTTTGGGAAGGTTCAATCCCCAAGGAAGCATTTTGGGAGCTGGTGATAAATTTTGGGGAAGGTCTGATGCGATTTTGGGAAGGTCTGAAGAAGTTTTGGGGGAAAATTCTAGGGACAGTATGAGGGAGTTTTTGGGAAAATCTGAAGGAATTCTGGGCACAGTCTGAGGACATTTTTAGGGAAAATCTGAGGGAATTTTTCATATGGTCTGAGGCAGTTTTGGGGAAGATCTGAGGCAGCCTTGGGAACAATCTGCCTCTCCACCACCCTCACCCTCTCCAGGACAGCCCAGCCCCATCCTGCAAGCAGGACCCGGCGTTGAGCCGGAGCTGCTGCTGGAGGAGCAGCCTCCGGAGCTGCTGCCCATGGAAATTGTTTAATTCCTGCGGGATGAGTCACGAGGAGCCGGGATTTCAAAGCAGCTTGGCTCCCATGTAAGGCACTCAAATAAACAGTGTGTGGCAGGTGGAAGCTCTCTCTGATGTCCCGTCAAGGCCTCCGACTTTCCAAGTGTTTTGCATTGCCAAAAATCCTTCGGCCACACCGTGGCTTCATCCATTCTTGAGGCTGGGCTCTGGAAAATAATGAATCAATGCCCGGAAACATGAATCGACGGAAAATTTATGGCACACTTAGAATATAATGTCTTTTGGGTCCTCTGCTTTGAAGCATCAGCACTGGAAGTTTTGGCATCTCCTTCTTTCAATCCTTCAACGAGGAGGATTTAGGGAAAAAAAAATTATAAATTCACTTTTCGCCCTCATGACTCTGTGAGCTTTAAGGAGTCCGTGGATGTCGGAAACAAATCCCAAGAGTCTGCTGGAAAAACGGGGAGTGGGGTTGAAAAACAAGAGCGCTGGGGAAAAATGAGAGTGTGAAAAGTGAAGGATGCCAGAGAACCCCAAACTCTTCACTTTCTGTGGGCAAAAAAATGTCTGCGGGGATGGAGCTGCTGGATTTTGATTTATCAGGAAAAACAAGTGGAAACACCGTCATCGCTGGAAGCGTCCAAGGCCAGGTTGGACAGGGCTGGTCTGGGGCTTTTTAGAGCAAAAGAAACCAAGAGCAAAGCCCGGAATAACTTTGTTGTTATTGTTTTGCACATTGGAGCTGGGATTTGAGTCTTTCGAAAGGTCACAGGCGAGTGGGTGGGGGCCAGGATTTCTGGCTGCCGGAACGGGAGGTTTTTTTATGGGACGTGCAGCGAAGCTGCAACCGCTCTCCTAAAATTTTATGGGCCTGCAAGAAGCCAGAGGCCCTTTCTCAGGTGGTGGGATCGAGTGTCACAGCCCTGCTCCAGCCCAGCCTTTTCCTCCCCGGAGCAGGACAAAGGGGGCTGAGCCCCCCTGGGTGCTGGAGGTTCAGCTCAGGGCTTGGTGTGATCCCACTGCTGGTGGTTCACCGTGGAATTCACCTCCCAGAGTACCCAACATCAGCTGTTAAAAGCTGTTTGTTCTCCAGGAGAGCAGAACAAAGTGTCCTTCTCCCCCCCAAACCCTCCCCTGGGGCTGCTGGTTCTTCACAAATCCTTCACTTGCAACGATTTTGTCCAGGAACAAACTGGGCTTCTCTTGGTCCTGCACCACTGAGCACCAATCCTGCTGGGAAGGGTTTGGATGCCAGGGAATTTCTCTTCCCTGCTCCTGCTCTTATTTCCAGGGTGAAATCTGAGCTGAAGGCACCTGATTATCGTGGAATTCCAGACTGGGAACTTAAATATCCAGTCTCACCCCCTGCCATGGGCAGGGACATCTTCCACTGTCCCAGGCTGCTCTAAGCCCCATCCAGCCTGGCCTTGGACACTTCCAGGGATCCAGGAGCAGCCACAGCTTCTCTGGGAAATTCATTCCGGGGCCTCACCACCCTCCCAGCCAGGAGTTTCATCCCAATATCCCACCTATCCCTGCCCTCTGGCAGTGGGAGCCGCTCTCCATGTTCCATCACCATTGTCACTATGTCCTGTCAGGATGATGAACGTGGAGGTGAACACACCTGGCATTCTCCATCCTCCCCCATCCTCTGGCATCATCTTCCATCATCCTCCATCCTTCTCCACCCTCCATCCTCTGGCATCATCTTCCATCATCCTCCATTCTTCTCCATCCTTCTCCATCTTCCTCCATCTTCTTCCATCCTCCCCCATCCTCTGGCATCATCTTCCATCATCCTCCATCCTTCTCCACCCTCCATCCTCCTCCATCTTCTTCCATCCTCCCCCATCCTCCTCCATCCAGCCTAGAGCATCTTCCATCCTTCTCCATCCTCTGCCATCATCTTCCATCATCTTCCATCTTTCTCCATCCTCCTCCAACCTCCTCCATCTTCTTCCATCCTCCCCCATCCTGTCATCATCTTCCATCATCTTCCATCATCCTCTATCCTCCTCCATCCTCCATCCTCCATTCTCCATCCTCCATCCTCCATTCTCCATCCTCCCCCATCATCTTCCATAATTTTCAATCCTCCTCCATCCTCTTCCATCCTCCTCCATCCCCCATCACTCTCCTGCAGGATGGGGAGCCCGGGATGAATCCTGGGAGCAGACAGGGCTG